TTGTAGTTGACAGTCTGAATGAAGCTCACGTTGGATCCTCTAATCTTCAGAATATTTTGAATTACATTATAATCATTGCAAAACAATTTATATATGAATGTAGACAAGACGGAAAAGTATCCTCTTTCAGACTATTCATTTGTAAAATTAAAAAAGTGTTTAATTTAGAAAAAACGTCTTGACAGATTCAATGACAAAACGGCCCTATTCAGAAACCGATGGGGACCACTAACGCAATACTTAGCGTATTAGTTTATATTTTTATAAGTAGCTGTTGGCATACAACGTTGACTAGTCTATGTAAATGTATTTGTTGAATAAAATAATAAAAATTGTGAAAAAAAAATAAATAAAAAAAACTTCAAAATTGTTCATATGAGAAAAGAAAAGAAAACAATCAACACAGGGAGGGAAGCAATCTGATTAAAATAAAATCCTAGTTTTGACTTTTTTTGTATATTTATTTTATTTTGATCTAGTGTATTTTTTGAAATTCTGGTAATTGCGAAAGCCAACAAGGGTAGGGTGGAATTTAAAAAAAATATAATTAAAGCCCGTACACTACATCAGATTTTAATCAGATTAGGGGGGAAGCAAATTCCTGGTCCCAGAAGAAGACTCTAACAACAGATTTATTTTATACAAACATTTTTCTGTACGTACTTTGTCGTCATATCGCTTTAATATTGTTGTCTGGATAATTCACAATTTTGTAAAATGTAGATAAGTATTTGTTATAATTGTGAACTGTAAAACATGTTTGGTTTTTATTGTAAAATAGAACTGTCTTTAAAAATGTAAAATGATGTTCATTTTTCTGTAACCTGTACCAGCTATTCCCTTTGCCCACATGCAACTCTATCCCAATTTTCATGATATATGAGTTTGATGATGTGTAGATGTGTATCTTGTTCTCATCGCGTATACACATAAATGTGAAAAAATGTCTGAATAACTAAACCAAGACATTACAATATTCAGGGTCGTGTCGAGACACCAGATCGTTGACCCACCAGTCAACCTGATTACAGTCTAATGCAGTATTGTTGTTTACATTATTTTTATGTACCACATAAATATGATACAGACAGAAAATTATTATTTGGAAACAATAATAGTCTAACTCAATCAATGTATTTTCACTACGATGATTCGAAACCATGTCTACGGTGTATAACTTTGGGACCCCTCCTGAAAACCTTTTTAGAATATCAATATTAATGTTAAAAATGAAAAGTAAATCCTGAAATTGCTGTTTCTATAGCAACTGGATCCACATCTTCCAACATTTAATGGATTGTTCATTGTCAAAGTAGTTAAACATCTTGACATTTAACTGAGAAATGTACTGTTTTTTAAGACGTTGACCTGCCACCAAAGGTCACAAGGTGCAATGGTCGTCACATTCATAAGTAAATTCCTTCAAATATAACCTACGATATAATAAAGTAAAAGTCGATACTCTATGCCAAAAATACACAACCTAAAAGTTCTGTGAATGAAAAAAGTGCTTAATTTTGATGTACTTTTAGCACTAAAATGGCCACTAGTCAGCCATCTCAATGCATGTGCATATCGTGACATGAAGTTTGAATGTGATCAGTCAAGTGGTTCTGGAACAGCATTTGTAATCAAAGAAACTGATGGTACTGGAGGTACAATTGAGGGAAAACAATATTTACTATATTAGAAGCACATCTCCAAATCATTAAAACATGCCTTTGCCATTTACATTTAAGCACATATCCTTCTAATGAAGCACATACAGTATTAAAAAATATAACTGTCAGTGATAAGACTGCTTCAGTGTCTATGGTATAATAATTATAAATATTGACCTGATACTTTGGTCATATATTTTGTCAGACAACACAGTTATAGTACTAGTTGCAAGTCCCTATCTGCAAAAGTACCTGGAATATAGTTATGCATATTAATGAGGTTGCATGACCATACATGGTTATCAAATACATTACTGAGAAATTAGTTATTCATATTAATGAGGTTGCATGACGATATATGGTTATCATATACATTACTGAGAAATTAGTTATTCATATTAATGAGATTGCATGACCATATATGGTTATCATATACATTACTGAGAAATTAGTTATTCATATTAATGAGGTTGCATGACCGTATATGGTTATCATATACACTATTCTCTTGACCATTAATTATAGCACTGGTTGCATGTTCACATCTGCAGCATTGCTTGAAATATTAGAGTCATGCATATTAATGAGGACACTTTAGTTTACATGATCATAGAGTACCTATGTACCAAGTTTCATTGAAATCTGATGAGTAGTTGCCAAGATGCAAATTAGGTAATTATTATTGCACAAATTTCAACCAAAAACTAATCAGGTCTCCCAGGGAAAATTTACAACAACTTTTCCCACCTCTAAAAATTTAAACAAGCATTTTTTGTTAACTTTCGTAAATTATTGTCTTAAAATTCTGGCCATTCTGCAGAATGAGATCTGTTAGCAAGTCCTGGTTCTCATGATCAGATGAGAAGTCATTATGTACTCTTAACAGAAGTTTTATTTCAGCCAAATTTTAGCAAATATCCTGAAAAGTACACATTCTAGTCACACCAAAACTGAACTTGGACATTTTATTATGATTGGCGAGATTCCAGGTTTAACAATACGATATAAAAATCATTTAAGTGATCATAACAAGAAAATGACAATTTTAGGTGAAATTTTACCAATACTGTAGAAAACATACATACCACATATGCCAAGAGCCTAAACTGGTTAATGAAAACTGAGTTATTGTAACCACAGCAAGGACAGACATTTTTCCCGGTTATGCCTTTCCTTTCATCTGATCGAGCATGGTAACAAAGTTATGTACATCAAGGTCCCATGATCAAGGTGGATGAACAATTTTTGAAGCAAGTATATTCATGTACGGCAGAGATCTGGTTCTGTAAGGCAGAAATACTCAATTTTGACAATCTTTTATACAAAAATGGCAGCCAATTAGCTATTTTGAATTAGATTATGAAACAAATGCACCTGCATGTATGTGACATGCTATATAAGAATGAACTTTATTGTTCCCGTGTAAAAAAAAAGAGTAGGTTACATAGGGTGTTTGCAACAATAAAGAATTTTTGTTAAGACAATATTTTGAAAATAACTAGAATGAATGTACTTAAAATTCACAAATAAATAAATATGTATAAAAAATAAATACACAAATAAATTATTAAAGAAATCTAATCTCTAATTTTGGTCGCAGCTAAAATAAAGTTTGATACCTCTTGAACTAATTTATCTTGATGTGAAAGTAAATATGTGAAACAAGAAATGTTATTGTCAGCCGGGACTTTAATTTTATGTAACAGTTGAGATCTCTGCTGTTCATATTTTTGACAATCTAAAAGGAAATGAATCTCATCTTCAATGCAGTTATTACAAAATTGACAAAGTCTGTTATTTATTGGTACTTTAGGGATAGAATGTCTGCTTTTTTAATAGCTAAACTATGATCGCTAACCCTGATTTTAGTGAACATTTTTCTATTTTCACCATTCAAATTAAGTAAATAAGGCTCCAAATTATACTTTGTTTTAAATTTTGAATATGTTCTGAGTTTAGAATTTTCATTTGATATAGCAGTTCTCCACTTGTTCACATACCTGCCTTGTAAATTTGATTGTAAAATTTTACAAATTGTTGCTGTTTGTGTTTTGTTGATTTTTCTTTTCAGAAGAAAATCTAATGATGCTTCCTGTAATATGGTTTTAAGATTAATGAACCAACTATTTGATATAGATGACTTTTTCTGTTCATAGAATGCTTGTTTAGTTAGATAATAATCTGCTAAGTCTACGATATGCAGCCAATATTTTATTATTTGTTTTTTGATGTCAATTAAAAGAGGATATTGCCCTGATTCTGCTCTTGCTGCTAGATTACATGAGGTCCTGTTAATCTGCAAGATTTGCTTACAAAACTTCAAATGAATTTTTTCTATCATGTTTTTTTCATATTTGATGTTGTTGATGAAACTTTGTCCCCATACCTCTGATCCATATAGAAGGATGGGTTTTATAAAAACGTTAAATAAATGTAAAGTTTAATATTTTTATTATCCCATAGTATTATTTTGTTCATAGCAAAAAGTGCTTTTCCAGCTTTCTCTGCTATATTTGGCTGTTGCCTCATTGAAATTACCATTTAAACTGAAAATAATCCCTAAATAAATACACTGTTTATTACATTTAATGCATTGGTTGCCAATAGTAAAACAGTATCTTTTTTGCAGTGATGATTTATTGAAAATAACAATTTCAGTTTTAGATATGTTTATTTTAAGTTGCCAATTTGAGCAATATTGTTCAAGATCATTCAAACCTTGTAGAAGACCATCTGATGTAGTGGTGTATTATTCAGTGTTGGTGGTTCTGTGTTTGTTTTGTCAAGGCGGTCTTTATTATCATTAATGAAAATATTAAATAATGTTGGACTAATCGCACAGCCTTGTTTCACCCCTTTTGTAACATCAAAACTCTGGGTAATTAAATTTGATGTTTTTATATGTGCTTTAGTATTAGAGTACATATTTTTAATGAGACGGTAAACCCTTCCATTGATATTATGTTTAAGAAGTTTGTAAAAAATTCCTATTCTCCAAATTAAATCAAAAGCTTTAGCAAAATCAACAAAACGTACAAAAAGTCTCTTTTTCTTGCAAAATTTTTTGAAATTAGAGTTTTTAAGACAAAAATATGATTAATAGTACGATGGTTCTTTTTAAAACCAGCTTGGTTATTATAGATTAGTTTGTTCTCTTCAATGTAGTTATTAAGACGAGAATTTATTATGCTACAAAACACTATATAGTGTGTGTGTGTGTGAAGTGTGATTGGTCCCGGCATGTTTGAGATACAAGGACAGGTAGAAATTTGAATGCACAGCGATGAAGTTACATGTATAATGAATGTATAGAGCAAGAAAAGTATGACACAATGTATGTTCATTCTTATAAGTTTATTATATTAAAAAAACATAACTGTTCTGAATAGGTTAGATTTCCCTTAGTGCTGCAACTTCACTGAACTTGCTGAGATGTAGTAGAAAGAGAAAAAGGCGTTTATTTGCCCCAGTTTTTCATGAATACTCATAACTCAGAGATATCTTACAATGAAAGTACTGATACAAAGCTGTCACAATTAATATTTTGTATATGAAAGAAAAATACATTTTTGATCCAAAATCAAGATGTTCAGTACACTGCACATTCTTGATAACAGTGAGTGGATTACATTGTCAGACACATGGTAATCAAGCAACAAGAGAATTTAAAACTATTTTGCCAACATAAGGTATAAACAAAATGTATTTCATAATAACGCTCAAAACTTGGGACAACTTGTACAGTTTTTATACAGACGTACCGGGGGTAAGACTTATTGGTTTTCTTCAAAGTAAATCTTGTGATTACAACAATGTAAATATACCTAAGGTAAAAATTAAGCAATAAAATCCAACGGCCTGTTAAAACCTCCTCTTCTGTTCATGTATTGTCTGTAGGCAAAATAAACAGATAAGTCATAGCTATCACAACATATAAACAATTCCCAATAATTTACCACATTGACAGTCACACATTTACTCCATATGCTAATAATTCAGTAGATAGCAGTGTGTTAATTTACATGAGCCTTGCAATTATCAGTACTGAAGTACAAATATATCCCCAAATCAATATCCAAATTAAGCAAACCCAGTACATTCAAGCATAGCTACTTTATTACTTTGTGAACTACATCTATGAAGTAACAGGGCAGATTTGCAGAACCCAACTGGATGACAATTCATTTTTAGTACTGTACACCAAAAATACACTCTACTGGTAATATCCTATAATGTTGCCATAACAACGAAACAGCAAACAACGAAAATCCACTGATTTTCTTTAATAATTACCAAAAAGGGGATATCTTATGAGTAACCCTACAATGTTATATTAAATTATTCCAAGGAACAAAATTACATTATTAGTGAGACCTTGTACCTGAACATTAAGCATAGCATTTTTTTAAATCACTGAAATGATTGCAGCCATCTGTCAAATGGAACATTGTTGTTTCCATGGTGACCTATGAATGACCGACTTTGAAACATTCCATCCAAGTTGGATATCGTTCTAATCCCCCTCAAAGACCAAATAGTCACATGGAAGTGGGCTGAGTGAAGATCTATACATGAAGATTTGAGAATACACTTACCTATATTTCCTTTTGCGGTTGATACTGACGGCAAATGCATTGTTGGCTCCAGGAACATGTTTACCCTGAAGAGCAGCCAGTAAAAAATGGTACATTTAATGCAAGTATTAGAGAGTCATGTAACATGAAATGAATAAAAATACAATCTTGAATTAGGCAGGCTAATCTACAAGTGGTATCAGCACTTCCACTACTAAACTCCGCAAGAGACAAAATGTTACAAATGCATCAACATCTACAAAATTGTCAAAACCTCCACTGCCGACGACAGTGAGTTTGTTTGTTGTTGTTTAGCAGAAAATCATATTGGCTAATCAGATCTAAACCACATAGACAATGGGTAGAAAATGTTTCATTGTTTTTTGATAACCAGATCATATTGGCTGATCAGATCAAAACCACATAGATAATGGGTAGAAAATGTTTCATTGTTTTTTGATAACCAGATTATACTGGCTGATCACACCAAAAAAGAACATGCTTTAGATGAGGTGAACTTGTAAAATGTGAATAAAAGTGGACATCTGTAATTTTGAATGCACACTATTGGGAAAGATACAAATTCACACTATCAAGGAATCTTGGAGATGTGAATTCACATTATCAATGATCTGATTGCAGTATGATGTGGTACTTGAGGCCTGTACTTGGGAACTCTGTTAGGACAACAAATGACCAATCAGCAGATGTTTTAGAAGAAGGATTAGATTGCAGATTGATTAGATTCCTGTAATGCACATCGATTGGTGCAATCACAAGTGCCTGGCTAAATCACAATAGCAAAAGTGAGCCACCCAGTTGCCAAATTTCAGGATCCGCCAGTCTGAAGACTACTAAGTGAGTGTATTTTACCATATAGCATTCACCTTCAGGTGCTGCATAGAGACTGATATTTAAAATGATGTGTAGGTTTATCAACCACTCAAACATGAGAAACAAAGTCAGTATTCATTACAACACTGGCTGCACCTCTTTTGTTGCCATGGTAGGACTTCATAACAACATAAACTCACCTTTGTTGTGTCAAATCCACTGAAACCCATTAACTTCATCATTTCTATCTCTTCTTCACTTTTACCTTCTAATTCAGATTCTAAAAATAAAAAGCAAGTAATAAACATCTCCTGATATTTACAATAAATACTAAAATTCCACATTCATAAGTTCTCTATCCATTTAAAATGACAAAAACTGATTGATTGATTGTTAGTTGCTTCATTTCTCCTCCCAAATATCAGTATCGAGTAGAATTTCCATTACCACCATACAATGTAATGTAGTGTAATGCAGTGACAGATAAATGCAGTGCCAAGATACAACAATTATACATCATTAGTTTAATTCTATGGAACACTGTTTGCAAAAATTTAGTTAAAACTTATTGAAAAATGTTCTCACAATGCTGATTGTCAGAGTGTTGAAACACAAGACTACTAATATTGTGTTAACATGTACACAAAGTTTACCACATATATTATTGGCAGCATTTGGCACTACAGAGTGTTAATAAGATCAATGCAGTCCACAGTACAAAATAGATTGTGCATTCTGGCAGAATATGGCTACTATGACAAAGAAAAAAACAGCCTGTCAAATTTTATATACTTGTTTGTTACTTCTGGCTAGACAGCCAGACATGGTCATTTGTTTTGACTACTAGATGCATGGAATAATGTTTTGAAACAATGCTGTATTTAAATTATATTAATACTTACCATCAATATATTGTGAGCCTGACGCATCAGGATCTGTTTTACTAGGGGACCTGAAATTAATAGAACGGTATATTTAGGTGTGCTCATTGGCAAATAATATCCTCACCTAAATTCTATATGTCACATTACTGATAAAATTGCACCAAAGTGAAACAATTAAATTTCACAACCCTTGAGATTCCAGGAAATGGGAGAACTTTGTGAAATGTACAGAAATTATAAATTTACCTTGAATGTGAGTGTCTATGTGGTGATCTTATCCTACAAGTAAAACAGAGTCACATAAAAATTACTACCCTCCTCAATAACACCCACTCATTAAAATTACTGCCCCTAGTGGCTGGTTCTTATAATCTCTTGTTTATAATTTGTGATTTAATTTAGGAATGAATCAATACACAGCGCGGAGAGACGCTAATTCTTCTGAATTTTTATACCAGGTATAGATTTTTTTTAAACAAAACATTAACTAAGTTTTAAATTAACTAGTAAAGCTAGCTGCATTAATTCAATATCATAACAATGTAGTTTTAATATACAGTGAATAATTAATATGTTCAGAATGGTTTCAAATTAACTAGTAAAGCTAGCTGCATTAATTCAATATCATAACCATGTAGTTTTAATATACAGTGAATAATTAATATGTTCAGAATGGTTTCAAATCAACTAGTAAAGCTAGCTGCATTAATTCAATATCATAACAATGTAGTTTTAATATACAGTGAATAATTAATATGTTCAGAATGGTTTCAAATCAACTAGTAAAGCTAGCTGCATTAATTCAATATCATAACAATGTAGTTTTAATATACAGTGAATAATTAATATGTTCAGAATGGTTTCAAATCAACTAGTAAAGCTAGCTGCATTAATTCAATATCATAACAATGTAGTTTCAATATACAGTGAATAATTAATATGTTCAGAATGGTTTCAAATTAACTAGTAAAGCTAGCTGCATTAATTCAATATCATAACAATGTAGTTTCAATATACAGTGAATAATTAATATGTTCAGAATGGTTTCAAATCAACTAGTAAAGCTAGCTGCATTAATTCAATATCATAACAATGTAGTTTTAATATACAGTGAATAATTAATATGTTCAGAATGGTTTTAAATTTAGTTTACCTTTTTCTCCTTGGGGACCGTGACCTAAAAATAAATTAAGTTACAAACAGAGTTAATACAGATATGATCTGTGAAATTCACTCTTTAACCTTTTCACCACCAGATTTTCTCGCCCAAATTTGTCTGCACTTTTTTCTTATATTCCTCGTTTGGAGCCAATATACAAAATTTGAGTCAATTTTCTGTTTTTACTTAAAAAATCTGGTTGAGTCAACGGTCAAAGAAATAATTATTTTATTTTTAATTATAACTAGAAATGAGATTTACCAGTGTGTCATAACAAAATCAAACGCATTAAAAAAAATAGCTGCTTAGTCAGAGGCAAAAATCTCAAGATTAATTTTTCACCAAAATATAAGTAAAAGGTAAATAAACATTTAAAGTAGTTAAATTCAAAATATGTTATTAAATAAGTATTAAGTCAGGCTGGACACTGATGTGATTCTTTGCAGACACAGAAGCAAAGAACCGAAAAAATAGATGCGACACAAATGATGTCATCAAGCCTTACCTGGATCTACTTCTTCTGGATTTGCGGGGTGAGCGAGATCTACAACAAACACAAATTATAAACAAACTATAAAGCATTTTTATGCTGCCTGTTTTTCACTCACAAACAATTTTAAAACAGTAAAACAGAGTTTATGTGGCCTGTGGAGAGCACTGTATTTCAGTGGTCAAGCATCTTAAAACTTGTATGTTTACATGGCCTGGAGAGGGAACTGTATTTGACTAGCCTGGGGATAACATGTGATTGACAGAATCCAATTAGAAGCAGTAATATCTTAAAAGTCAGCTAACTCAACTTAGTCAAACACAATACATGCATGCAACATTTATATAATATGCACACATTTGCGTTTATAGTGTCCACTAGTCAAACTCATCAAACATTTACTGGTATATGTACATGGAAATTTATTTCCGGTTTGTCTAATGTCATCACTGATTTGATTGACATATTACAAGCTACATTAGCTAGATAGCTAAAAAGGTGACATGGTGCTACAACAAATTTTGATAAATATAGCTTCATTTGCATACTTCATCCTCAAAAATGTGAATATCACAAAAGATTGATTCAGAATATCAATGGTAATGTCAACCTCAGCTTGGTCTTTGTGCAGTTTGCCATTACCAACTTTGAGATATTTTAATTATACTTGTATTGGATCTTACCTCGATCTTCTCTTATGACGTGTTTGAGAACGTGAGCGTGAACGACTCCGACGACGATCTAACAACATACAATGAGTGAAGTAAAAGTCAATATTGTATTTTTTTGAAAACAAACAAATGCATCAAACAAAATAAAATCATCAAACACATTGACGAATCAAATTTTAAACATGCTAAATACAATTACCACATTTGCTCATATACAATTAAATAAATTACAGAGGTATTGCTACAATCAATAAATTTTGTATCTAGTTAATATATGAAAGTAAATAAGTCAAACACAATGCATGCAGGGCTTCACTACCAACCTATAGTGGTGTCAATCATCCAGGTTCCCATGCACATACAAACTAAAACAATCATAGACATACAGTACAGTTCTCGCGGAAGCTTTGGCTTCACTTCAGCGTCAGCTTCGCTTCAGCATCGCATCGTTATGGCATTGTTATGGCTTCATCGTCGCATCAATGTCGCGACATTAAAAAGTTAGGCGATTATCGCTTCGCTTCATTGTGGCCTCATTATGGCGACAATGTGGCATCAGCATCGCTTCATCAAACAAACAAGTACTGTACTCATTTCCCCCAAACCTCTTGACCGCTCCCGCTTTTTACCGCTCAATTTCAGTTTTATTTTCGACCGTGCAAAAATTCGGACCACT